CACACCGCACCAGCCGGCAGAGTGCTGGAGAGGACAGAGTCATGAGAGGACAGAGCTGGGTAGGACAGAGCTCAGAAAGGACAGAGCTCACAGAGAACTCGGTGGGGACAGGGCTTGAAGGAAATCAAACCGGACCCGACCCCGGAGTCTTCTATCCAATCCAATAGCCAATCGATATCACATGATCTGTAACATGAGACCAAACTGAGACACTGATACCGTCCTACGACAACCTCGCCATCATGGAGTCCCAGTGCGGGATGAGGCTCACCATCAGCCCCAACCCAGCGAGCCGCTGCCGAGATCGCCGGTGCCAGCGGACGCTCCAAGCGGGAGGCTGAGTCCGCTCATAAAGAGAGAAGGGTCCGCCAGAGAGCCGGGCCGAGCACGGCGCGACCAGCGATCATCAATCGAACGCCCACCGCGGCCGCGGGCGGCGCTCACATCCCCGGCCGCCATCACACAGCCGAGTTTATATGCAAAGTGCCGTCCGGCTGCACGGCAATGCACGTTTCGGATGCAGTCTGCAGCGGGCCGCGCCGGTCTGATGTCGCCGACCGGGCCGCCATGGACTCCAGGTGTACGGACTCTCCCCGCGGGAGACTCACCGCCAGACACCTCGGCCGGCGGCGTGACGTCAAATCGGCCGGAGCCGTGTCACTGATAGCTGCACCACCGCGGCTGGACTCTTTGTGGGCCAGATATACCACCACACCTGTACAACTAGAACGGTCATAAGCAGCGCCGCTATTATGAGCCCAACTGACATGATCTATCACGTATTCACAGCGCACGCCAAGTCCAACTAGCCCTGTGCCAGGCCCTCCCACGAGGCGGCCTAGCGTGCTCCCACCACCCGATCGCGACGCTGTTTACCGGCGCCTCGCGGCTCGTCCGATGCACGCCGTATCAGTGGCGGCTTGTAGTGCCAGTCACGGCCGACCGTTATGCCAGTCACAGTCACAGTCATGCCAGTCACAGTTTTATGTTGCAGGTCGAAGGCGTCTCGAGGTTCGGCATCCCCCACCACGGTCGGTCGTTGCATCGGCCGACGCGACGGGGCGTTCTGGTCCTCCGGTATATCGAAAGGGGCCCATCCGGTATTAACCACATAGGTATTTGACTAGCCGGCTAGACAGTCCAAAGCATGAAATTGTCAATCAGTTACCTCACAGGGAGTCTTCATTGCACTCCAAAGCCTCTTGGACTGGTCTGCTTGGGCCTCGGGCGCGTCGTTGGCTCCAAATACCTCTGAGGAGTCACCCCGTTCCTCAGAGACCGTCTACCTTGAAACTTTCCGTCGCGGTTATAAAGTCCCGGGGACGGCGCCTCCACGACATCCTTGTACCGGCGCGGCGTCCGGACTTCGGTCACCGCGGCCACACGCGGCGTCGCGGCGGTCGGCATGATGCTGAATTCTGCAGTCCCAGCCATCTGTTGTCAACACAGCCGACCGGTCCGGTCTGTCTCCCGGCCTTCTGAGAGACCATCTGGTCCGCCGACCGCGCCGGCCGGCCGCCGTCACCGGCGTCAGCAAATTAACTTCCCAGATGACTAATGACCGGCGCAGCGGTGAGCCCTCCCCCGAAACACAGCCTGCCCGGATCTGGCGGTGCGGCGGAGCTCAAGGTGATGAGCGGCCGAGTGGTGTTTTCCAGGGTGGAGCTGACACGCCGGTGGTGACCTGCAACTTACGAGACGGCCGGGGAGGGGCGCCGGGCGCGGAGGAACGCTTCAGGAGGGACGCCGGGTCAGGGCGGAACGGTCGCAGGGAGAGGAACGCAGGGCCAGGGCGGAACAGTCTCAAAGGAGGAGCGCTGGGATGGGGTGGTGGTCGGGAAAAGGAATAACGGGACGGGGTTCAGCACGGGAGGGAGCGCCGGGGCCTGCAGGTTACAACCATGGTGAGGCGAGCGGTGGCTAGACAGGTGAGGAAGGCCCTCAGGAGAAACCCACAGCTAAAAAAAAAAACACGCCTGGTGCACAGAGTAGATAACGGCGAGCAGAACCTGAGTAAGGGAGGGGAAAAGAGGGTGGAGGGAAGCAAAGAAGATGAACGGTGACAGCGATGGTACTGCTGGGAATCTATTTGCAGTCTAGATTAACGGAACAAAGAAGATCCAAATTAAGTCACAATACGAATTCCACAGATCCGACGATATGCCATCACTTATGTCCAATTTACACAGAGAAGTGATAGTACATAAACGTCCGGGAGGATATTTATCCTCCCCAAATCAGACGGTCATCTCAAGGACCGGGCGAGATTTTTCTCGCCATGATGGCGACTAATATCAAGAACCATTTATACCTGTCTAGGCCCAAACACTGGAGCTTCTGATCTCCTGATCTTCACCTCGGTAGGTAATTCTGGACAGCGAATAATTAAAACCTGAAGCTTCCGAACGGAACGAAGAACGATTAGGCCTGAGATCCTGAGATCGTTGGCTATATTTGACTATAGTGTGATAGATGTCACTGAGTCACGAACGATGAACAAAATGCCACTAGAACTGCCTGTCACAAGTGTAACACCGAGCGAAGCTGACGCTAAAACTAGTAGTCAAGTACGATTACGGATATATTGGGCCTTTAGATATCCCACAGCTGGTTCCACCAAGGGGTTGATGCTGGGCGATCAGGATTGATCATCCACTGATGTCTGAATTTCAGCGCTTGACACATCCCACCGGCATCCAGTACAGTGAGTCACTGAGCTGAACTGGTCCGGTGAAACGGCGACAGTCGTGACAAACCGAGCCCCTTCCCACAACACAGCCGCCGATCGGGTTCGAACCAGGCCGAGAGACGAATGATTCCTCTACAACGCTCACTGCAGGATTGACATAACTCCGGTCCACAGTGACGCTTCACCGTAGAGTGCACTGTGGAGGACGGAAAGCTATACACTTACACTTGTATGGGACATCTCGAGAACTGGGCCATCCTATCATTCAAACATAAACTCTACGTAAGGATGGATTGCTACGCACGCAGCGATGGCGAAGCCATCTGACTGAAGCCTCCCTCAATGCACTGTCGCCGATAATACGGGACCTGAGTCAAGAAATAATTTCTCCATATACTTTTATGCCCAATCGCGTATTCGTGTAAGTCTCATCCATTACCGTTGCACCTCAGTCAGGGGGGGGGGGCGAGGCTCCGCGCTGCCCCCTCGGTGCCCCGCCCCTCCCGTCCCCTGCAGCGGAGCGGCGATCAGACGGCGTCTGACACTAATTAACACTAATCTGACGGCAGAGACGCCGGAGAAGCCGGCAGACGCCGTGGGCGGGACGGATCGGGGGTTAGGGGGGGGGGCGGATGAGCGGGGGAGGTGGGTCGGTGCGGACGGACCAGGGGTGAGGACGGCACTCACGGGGCGGGGGACTCGCGCCTCATGGGACTCACGGGACTCACGCGGCAGTGGCACTCAAGGAGAACTCACGCCTCATGGACTTACGGGATTCACACGGCACTCATGCCTTCTCCCCCGAGGCAGAGGGGAGACGAGCGGGCGGCGCTGACGGAGCTGACGGAGACTGTAGTGCTGCATGGGCAAAGGGAACTGGGAACACTGCTGAGATGGCTCCAGTTGTGGACACTGGACAGCACTGCTGAGTGCTGTGTGAGTGCACTGATTTGAGAGCGCTGCCCAGATAGCTTAACTACTGAGTCGGCATCATCATTCATCAATGACTCCCGTGATGTGGGAGCACTGAAAAGACGAGAGTGCACGTTGTTGAGGTGTTACAACCAGGAACCAGTTGCTGAGAGGTGCTGCTGCTGAAATAACTTCAAATCCCTGTTGAATCCCCACGTCCATCCCACCGAATGACACTGCTGAGATGAGAAGATTCAATACTGAAAATGCAGTCACTACGGAAGTTACGGCGCATGGGCCTCCTTCCGCGACTAGAGCGACTGGCTTCCGGTTTCCGAGATTTCATTACGGAATTCCGGGTACGTTTCGAAGGGCCCCGCAGTCCGCGGAGCGTCGAACCGCACCGCGCCACATCCTGTCAATAGCTACCGTCGTAATTCACAGTCCCATTAATGATGTGCCGATGAGCTCGTTGTGTAATCATTGCCAAGTCTCCAGACACTGCAATCCAATCTGACGGACTCCGCCGCCTGTAATCGAGCGCTGTCATTAGTTATTCATCTCTCGAGTGGAAACTCCACTCAAGCTGATGCCTCGAGTCGCTTACACCGGCTCATCCAGATTTAAGCACGCACACGTCACGTCTCTTATCATAATTACAATGGACAGTCACACAACGGCGAGCTTAGGGTAGGAACATTAATGCGGAAGCGATTAATTAAGCGTCTGCTTTAATAATTGCACCTGGCAACGGACATCAACTGTTCCCACAGCACCGTCACCACGCTGTAACGCTGTTCCAGGACGCGAGTCCGTCCATCTGTTAGCACCTTGATGGGCGGAAGATCGTGAGCTTTTGTCAGCATCGAGTGGCTGCCCCCTCCGTCCCCTATCCCCCTCCCCCTGCCTCCGCCCGAGTACCCGTCCGGTGGGTCCGACCCACCCTCGGCCGGGTTCCCACGAGACTCACCGGCCCACCGAGCCAAACGTTACGACAGCGACTGCAGCGCTGCAGACTCTGAATCCCTCGTTAATTAATGATGAAAGACGAGCGGCAAAACTCCGGCGGAGTCAATCGACAGGTAATGAGGTGGCGCCGCCGCAAACCGGCAGCGAAAGATTACAGAATGTTTGTTAGATGTCGTGTTTGTTTGAATGTTTTGAACTTGGGAGCTGTCACGTGGATTATACGAGATACTTCCGAGACTACGCGTGTTTAACATGCTTAGTCAATGGTTCGTGACGGGAAAGAACAGCCACACGCTAGCATGCAGGTTTGCAGCCTGACTTCAAAATGTCGGAAGTAAAGCTCCATGTCTCAACATGACAACAAACATCCATCTGATGTTTGTCAATGACGGTATGGGTGTTACCACGAACGTTCGCCGATATGCCTTACCTGTGTGGGCCGATTTCCTCGTCACTCTCCTGCCGTCAGCTCCCGCTCCGAAACTCAGTCCCGGCGGAATTAGATTGTTCTGTAACGCCTGGTCACACCACCGTGTCAGTCACTCAGACTCTCCTCCTTTCGTCCCGAGGCGCTGCGACCCACCGAGTCCGGTCACCGTCCGCACGCCACCGCCGTACCGAGCACGCCGCCGTGTCTTGCACGCCACCTCCGTGACGGTTCCCGGCCGTACTGCCGCCGCCGCCGGCCGTGCCGCCAGACTCTGCTGGCGGCCGCCAGGGGCGCTGCTGTCGCCCGGCTGGAGACAGGAGGGGCGGACCGATCAGGATGGGAGGGGATAGCGACATCACGGTGGCGATAAAATGGCATGCGGGCTATTCCCGACAGGTGGGAAAGGCGAACAAGGAATGCCGTCGTCGGTGTCTTCCAATAGGATGAAACGTTGGAGCTGGACGGTTTCGCATCATTTTTATATCGCCCGTGGCGCCTTCGACCCTCCGATCACGTAGAAACCATGCAGAGATGTAGACCCGAAATTGTCCAGTCTTGGTTCTAAGATGATATGCAAACATTAAAAAGCTCAAGAGCATTCAGCTAGTATAGTTCGGCATAGGCCAAATCGCTAGTAACGTCTACGCTACTGTCGGATGCATAGGAACCCCTTCGAAACAATTTACCTACCTAATGGAAAAAATAAAATCTGTGTAGGAAGAATACAAATGCAAAATCAAAACATATCATGGACGCTTAAGGTTTACAACATGAGGAGCCCAAAAGGAAAAAAAGATTAAAATGAAAGTAAAAGTCCGAAATTGATGTCTGATGGAGGCCTGCATGTTTTATGAGAAACACAATAAGAGAACGCAATGGTTTAGGTACGAATCAATTTAATAAAATTTTTGAAGGAAGCCTGGAATTTGAAGAAGCAAAAAACACCACCAAACCCACCATTTGACATAGTTCAAAGACTACAAAAGTGAACTTAGCTGGCTTGATTCAGAAAGGCCGTGCAAAAACAGCCTACGTACGGACTCTAGTTATCCGGCATTTCTCTGCACCATCTAGCGAGGCCTGTTGAGGCCCAGTTGACGGGTAATTTAAGTGTCATTCCGCCCTCCAACTCGTCGTTGTAGCACCGCCCCATGTTTTGTCCACCTACACAGCGCCGCGTCGGCTCACAAACCACGCAATTACCGGCAGGCCGGCACCCAGCCAGCCTGCACGGGCCGGCCGTTTACAGAGTATCGAGACTGTCCAGTGTCCGGTTCACCGGCGACAAACACCAGCCCTGAGCCAGCCCCGTGTGAGCTGCAATCGATATCGGCGACCGACCGACCGGCCCCGCCTGTCTGACACCGTGACGGACGCCGCTCGACGAACTGACCTCGGACCACAGACCCTGATCAATGATCCCCCGGACCACCGCTGATAGTGGTAATGGTTGACATAGGTCAGTTGGAAGCCGTCTCAACCTCCTAAACTGAGATTCAGAGTGATATCTGACATTCGATGCAGCGTAGTTTACTACGACAACCTGTACCAATATGAGTTGACCCAGGTCTGAACGTAAAGATCTCCTGCAGCGTCCCAGACCTCCCGTGCGCAGTCCGTGCTGGCTTGGCCTACTCCCCTGACAGCGGCGATAAATCCCCGCCAGCGCCGCTATTTGTCTTGACGAGCCGGCCGCAATCTGGCGCTCCTTACTCAGCGAGGCTGCTGGATCGCACCGCTTCGGATTGCGGCCTATTCGTCTCATGTAGGCTACTGTTTGAGATGTGAGGTGTAAAGACTGAGGTTCCTAGTCTCATGATGGCTGAGGTCTAAATAACGAAGCCTGAAAGGAGGAGCTTCATGAAGCCAAAAATCATCCTTTGTCGCCAGTGGTATATAGTATATACGGACCAGTTGCCTAACATTCTAACTGCCGTTCGGTGGCGCAACGAACCAGAGCAGCTTTTCACGAAGCGAGCTGCAAATCGCCACCACAAGGCGACGGGGCAGGGAAAGACATCTGGAGGGGACGCATAGATACGGGTAAAACTGGTGCAGCGCGAAGACAATCGCCGTCTCGACTCAGTCAGCGCGCCTCCAGACAGATGCCTGTCGCCCCGTGTAGGCAATGAGAACCAGCTGTGACGCACTCAGCACCCGTGGGTGCTCTGCACCGCGTGCCAAGCTCGGAGCCGAAGAGATGGCGGAGATTTCAGCGGCGCACGACGACAGTGGGAGTTGAAAATAGAGCACAGAGCACTGAGCACCACGATCCAAAAACAGAGCACAGGGAACCAAGCTCCCAGAACAGAGCACTAAGAGCAGAACACTGAGAACAGCGCATCGAGCACCAAACTCTGGAAACGGCACACTGAACCAGTCTCCGAGCGCAGAGCACTGAGCGCTGAGCGCCTCTCGCCGAACTCCTCTCGCCGATCCCAGCGCCCGACGCTGAGGCATGGATGGAATCCGGCGGCCGTGATTGCTGCCACCGCTCACCGTGCGCCATCCGTCCGCTCGACCGGCCAGCCAGCCAGGATAGCTCGCTCAGCCAGCCAGGATAGCTCGCTCAGCCAGCCAGGATAGCTCACTCAGCCAGTCAGGATAGCCCGCTCAGCCAGCGAGGATGGCCCGCCCGGTCAAATAGCCGTCTGGATAGGCAGCCCCCGCGGCGGCGCCGAGAGACCGCCATTACCACACGGAGGACACGGCTATTAGCCAGCTACCGCGGCCCGAACATGGTGTGGCGTGCAGCGTGTCCCCGGGGGAAGCGACTGCACAGAGGTGGACCACACAGAGTGCCGTGCTGTGGAGCTTCAGGATTTAGGGCCTTATGTGTACCCACGCACACATGTATGCATTTATTTGACGTGTGTACTGCAGAGTGCAGATGCATGACATGAGTCGTGAATTCTACGATTCGTTAACGTATTTAGTTTTTTGCGAGCTCATTATATTCGACAAGCAGCAGCATTGCGGGTAATTGTTCAAGTAGGTTCAGGATAGCCGTTTTCACGACGGGCTATCCGGCGAATGCACCTGATTTGACCAAGTCTGCACCTTATTTCTTTTACAGCAAATATCTTCATTTTATGAATTAATTTCAGTGTTTTAGTCGATGATGCTCTCTGATAATATGACAAAGCAGGCATATAAGCAATAAGTGCAACCCTATCATAGCTGATCTGCTAAGAGACACACCGAACCTGATTTGACCAGATCTGCACCTAATCTGTACCAGATGTGCACCAAATGTATACCAGATGGCCGTCGTGAAAACGGCTGATAGCAATAATCTGATAATGCATAGTTAAGTTCAAGGAATAAGCATGAATGTGCAATATGTAGAGTGACGGATGTATAAAAGGGTGGGGCCAACTCAAAGAAGCTTTGGTGGAAAACAGCGCAGGACGTTTGCCTTATCACCGTCAGTTTCCATCGCTCCCGGCTGCTGAATTGAGGGAGGAGTCGAGCGGATATGATACGGTGATACGGTGATCAGTTCTCAACTGGAACCTGGCGCCGGCAGGTCGTTTGCCGTACTGTTCGAGGGCGGGGCCACACGCCCGGAGCGCCGTCAGCTGATAAATGGCGACGTCACCGCCAGGTTCGGCCGTCGCACGCAGTCCCCCCTCAACCCCTCCCCTCTCACGGCAGTCGGTCCCCTGCCCGTGTTCACCCTTCAAAGCCGTATGTGCGACACAAAGGCTGACTCGAGCGACCACACCCCCCATTATGGCAGAAAATGAGCGAACAGCATCATTTCAAGATGAATGATATTCTGTTATTAGCGAAGTGTTTACACCTGAATACGTTAAATGTTCGGACGATTTCATAATGGCTTCAAAGCGGCTAACTGTCTCGTTTGTAGATGTGAGCGAATATGTGAGCGTCTCCTTTTTCACACCACCTACCGATCATCGGTCGGTGGTATGCAGCCAAGACTCGGCATATTATGTAAATGTCGATAAACAGATAACGCCTTTCTGGCGTCGCAAACTGTCGGCTCTTTTGTTCGCCGCTGGGGCGTGAATTTCAAGTGTGCGCTTAGAATTCAGTTAGCGGGTTGTGCGGGTTAATGGTGGCATCGACGCGATGTTACGACAGCGGATGATGGCGCTTCGAGAGGCTATTGGGCAAGACACGGAGCGACCGCGGAATCATAACACACAAATCGAACATGACGGCACAGTGAAACCAAGCGTGGGATGCTGCTGTAATCGGTGGTGTGTTAGATCACGAATACAACAGATCAATTTGAAGCCACAAACCCGCAAACAGCTCGAAGCGAGCCAAGAGGTGAATGTTTTTCACCAACTGCGGCAGGCAGCGCGAGTGACCGGACATCCACCGGCCAGTTATACTAGAGAGCTCGTCTAGCTGCATTGCTTTGTACTTTGACCGGTCACGGCTGGACTGGCTGCTGATATGCTCCCGTTAAACGATAGGCACCGTCTGCAGTATGTCAGATCAACCCCCACTCTATTCCACAACTGCATGCCCTCTGACGGCAGCCGTGTGGCAGCCTTCATGACGGCCCGTCAACAGGGCCCACCGTCAGCTAACTCCCGATGCGATTGGACCGCGGTCAGACACCCACCGGGATCGACCATTGGTCACTCCTGCACCAGTGACAGACACTGTCCAGTGTCCAGACTCGGATCAGGTCAGGGTTGTATGCGGACGAAGGCCGGTGGGTGGTTCTGGACTTCAGTCGCTGCCTTGGAGGTCGAGGTGTGACTGATACCAGAGAGGTGTTTCAAGTGATGACTCTGCGTGTCAACAGCGTGTCAATGTGTCAACAGCATGTCAACACGGCCACCGATCATTGGGAAGGAGCGGAGAGTGACGGAGAGCCAGTGTCACAGGCACAGGTCAGGTGACAGGTCGGCCACGCACCGTGCAGTGACTGGCAGTTTCAGCCCCGCTCCGAGTGGGCCCGGCCCGCCCGTCCGCCCCCGCCGCCCCCTGATCAATGACCCGTTCCCGATGGACCCTGGACCGGGTGGAACTCGGGTCAGCGCTGACACGTGTAACGTGTGACACGGCTCAACAACACACAGAGGGACAATCACCCGTACCACCGCGAACCTCTATACTACTGGATCATAGTGGTCCAAGCTCGACCACACGTAAC